GTGTCGTTTCCCACTCCTGTGGAGTTTCAATTTTTTCTTTGGTGTTAAAGAATTGCTGAATACAGCCAAATGAGTGTCCCTCCAGTGGGAATTTAACCCTAGATATGCCGTACTTTCGCAGGGGGTATACCAATTTTGCCACAACAAATTAGGCTATGTGGTATGCAGGCAGGAAAAATGTTATAACTCTGCAACCAGCCAGCCAATTTTAACAAACAAGGTATCATTTTAATTGTCAACAAATTTCCTTTCTGTTTATGAAATAAATTATAAACAAACAGACAGTTTCCATGGTAACCTGGTTGCCATAGCAACAACAAATACGTTTGTATAAGAAAAACAAAAAGTTGTGCCTCTATTGTGAGCTACAAGAGTTGAGGCTACAAAACTAAACAATGCATCATCTATAAGTTCTTCAAATGGGAAAGGTTGAAAACACTTGAAATATGGAAAAATTACAATATAGTAAAAAAACGTTTTTTTTATCATGTGAACAATGACAGGAGAAATATGCAAATTAGCTGCATCCATAGAATGTCTATCTTTTGATCCTGAATATCAACATGGTTTGTACACCAAACATTTTCTAACTGCAGCTTGAACTGGAAAGTTTTAAATAAAGTTCACTACATGATGCTAACCCTCTTTTTCCAAATACAGCTGAGAGGACTAGGCATTGAAGTGGCTCATGGCATGCACCGGTCGAGGGGACTACACTATCACTTTGACAAATAACAGTGAAAAGTAGTTCATTATGACAGCCCATTAAAAATTGAATTTCAAAAGTAGTTGTCTGTTTATTTTCTCTTTTTTGTAGCATGGTCCAGCTGATCAAAACATTTCAGGTGAACCCCAATGCCACAACCTTCACACTGAGTACGGCTTCTTTTTCTTCCACCAGGGGTTGAGCGGTCAGAGCAAACAATGCAGTCCTTCTCTTTTTTCCAGGGAGGAGGACAGCTCTATGAACAAGGTTTGCTTGTCTCACTGGGATTGGGATAGCCACTGGTTGATCTTCAGGTGTAGCACACAACTCCTCCACCAAATTACACATAAATCTGAAACGTGTGAGCTTCCGTCGGGCGGAGGTGTTTTGCTCATACAATATGTATGAACAAAATGCCATTCTGTCGATGATGGAAAAGAAGCACTTTTTCCAAAATTTATGAAATGGCCGTTCTCCAGCAACATGATCGACCATTTGATCTAGGAGATCTACTCCTCCCATGTTCTGATTGTAAAGGGAGACTGTTTTTGGCAACTCCTTGATCTGGCCATTGCGACGGGTGTGGTTGATCATGTGAGCACCACTCCCTGTCGTTAGCATAAGACAGGGGTTCTTCTGTGACTTCTTTTCTTTCCATGATAATGCAAGCAAGGGGCCTTTTCTCGCATAAAAACATTCTCCCACTTTGGGTCTGGCTGACTTCAACATCACAGGGACACCTTTTCTGTTAGACCTCAGTGTGCCTGTTAGAAGAGTCTTCTGAGTGTACAGAAATTCAGCCAGAGTAGGGCTTGTATAGAAGTTGTCTACGTATAGATGACAACCTTTGTTGAGCAAACTGGCTTCTAACATCAGCTCTCTCACAACATCATAAGAATGGCCAAATTGAGAGGCAGGCTGACTGCGTTTCTTTCCACAGTAGACCATTGTATGCAGGGGATAACCCAAAGAGGATTCGGTTACAGCATACAGTTTCACTCCCCACTTATGGTGGTGCTTATTTGGTATGTACTGTATTAGTTCAGTTCTGTTTTTCAATCCTATCAGACTTTCATCAATAGAGATCAATTGCTTTGGAATATAGTGTTTCTTGCATGCACAGTTTAGAGCATCAAGAACTAACCTGAACTTGTGTAATGGGTCGTAAAGTGCATTGTCCTTCTTTGCTTCTGGTCGTGTATTGTCAAAACAATGGAGGTACTTTGAGATCAATTGAAAATTATTTCTGGACATAACATTGCCAAAATAAGGTGTAGAAAGGCAGGAAAACTTAGTGTTCCAATACATTGTTGTGTCCTTCTTCTTTACAAGCCCCATGAGCAGTGTTAAACCCAGATACTTCTTCAAAGCAGAAACACCGAAATTGCAAGTGTCCCAGCCTGACTCCCTGCTTCTCCTTCGCTGATCTTGTTCACCTCTCATTTGTTGTTCTGCATATCGGCGTGTTTCTGCAACAATCTTGTTCAGAATTTCTTGTGTAAGGAACAAGCAGAAATAGATCAATGGACTTGATTCTGGAGGGGGCATATTTTCCACTCCGGGATCACGAACAACAAAGTTGATTTCGCCAGGATCATCCTCCGGTGGATAAACACGTGTCCAAAGTGCAGCTCTTTCAGGGCTATTATTCAACTCGTCATCACTACTTTCTTCGGATTCTGAACTATTGCTGCTTTCTTCCGAGTAAATTTCATCGCTGTCAGACGTTTCACAACCTTGTTCATACTCTGAGTCTGTCTGAGTCTTCTGAAGAAATCACTGGTGAACCCTCGCGGGTCGCCATGTTGTTTTCACGCACGCTTCGAAACCTCCGGAAAAATGTCGGAAAACAGGCGATCGTTGTCACGACTGCCCTCGAGCAATGGCCGACAAAACGAAAATATATTCTTTTCCTTTATTGGTCATTATAAGACAATATTTTAATAGTTGACCAATCACAGCTGCGTTTAGAACAAAAGGCCGATTAGATCGGCCGCGGCAAATCTAGGTGTTTATCGATGGGCCGATTAAATCGGCCCACGGCATATCTAGGGTTAAGGTCCACTCTTAGAAACTCTCCCTTTCTAACAATATGGTCTAGATAAAAAAATAAGTAGGATTCTTTAAACTGAGCCGGCGAGTTACCTGCCCACAGTATAAGCTGATGGAATTTACCGTATTTTTCCTGAAGGCTTTTCAGAAGATAGTTCAGCAGAGATATTACCTCATTTGGACCGCTTCCTCCAATAGATTCATCATAGAAGAAACAATGAATGATGTCCTCATTGGCACAATAGATCCCGAAAAGGTTAGTTAACTTTTGGTGTCCATAAGCACCTATGGTAATCAATTTCGAGAGTTAACACCCTCGGTAACATATTTCAGGCAGGATTTATTATTTATCTTGTTGACTTGTTCAGTTGGCCTTGCACACGACAATTCGCATGCTACGCAAAATGCATAACTGAAAGAGCCCGCATGCGATGTTGCGCACGTAATAACTTCGAGCATAAACTTTAGTAGCTTTTGTCGACAGTAAGTCCGCTCGGTCGGATATAGAGATGAGCTCAACCATATACCCGACTTGTGTGCTTAGAGGACAAAGGGCAAAGCTATTTAGCAATGCTGGTTACGCTGCAAAATTGCAGAAAAATGCTTTGAAATCTTACTTTCATGTACTTTTGCATCAGACCAAATAAAGGAAGAGAGCAACAAAATTTTCTTTTTGATTTCTTTGGAGCAACTTTGAGAAACATTTATAGAAATTGSGGGAAACTTTTTGGGAAATCWWRAGTTTGCAAGACTGCRTTCCGGAAAGTATACGGCATTTCTAAGAGCAAAATTGAAGTTTTGCTTAAAAAGATCGACCAAGACGGGTTGTTCATAGAACCAGACAAAAGGGGACAGAAGACTCCTCGGAAACTTCTACCCGAAGCGAGAGATGCTGTCATGGACGTCATATTATCTTACGAGGCTACAGAATCACACTATCGGAGAGCAAGAAGTGGGGGCAAGAAATATTTTGATTCTAACATTTTGATGCGCCAAATGTGGTCTGAATTCGTGAACACCCTAATTTAACGACAACCAGCCTAAAAAACAAAAATAGTGGACCTGTAATTAGTTTTTCAACTTTTAGAAATATATTTAACAAGGAACTGAAAGACGTTCTAAGTTTTAGAAAGTTTAGGGTTGATACTTGTCAAGAGTGTGACAAATGTAAGAACAGGCTTGACAACCTACGATCGTTGAACAATCGATCTAACAAGCAAGACGACGAAATTCGTGACCTGATAACTCGTCGGAGCCTACACCTTCGAGAAAGCGAGGTCAGANGTAAGAACAGGCTTGACAACCTACGATCGTTGACCAATCGATCTAGCAAGCAAGACGACGAAATTCGTGACCTGATAACTCGTCGGAGCCTACACCTTCGAGAAAGTGAGGTCAGATTTGGGTCCTTGAGATATGAAGTCACAGTTCTAGCTGAAAAAGTGTATTGAATGTAGTGAGATAGCTCGGATGAGGACGGTTTATCGGAGCTCACAAAATAAACAGGAACAAAAAAAAAAACGTAGATTGTTGTATTGTTAAGTTTTTTCCCAAGCATAACCAGAAACTGAAAATGTTTGAAATTTATTACAAAACCGATCGGATCTCGGTGAAAAACGGGTAAGGGCTCTTTTTATGACTGGATATGTCGTATACGAGCACACTGACAAGACTCAACATCTGAGACGTTATCAGATGTGATACTGTCAAACAAACCGCAACTCTTTAAACAATGTGTGGCCATAAATTTACTTTGACTTTTATCCAGAATGCCCAGGGGGTAATGGCCGGACGTCCATAAATTACTTACGAGTAATTAGTCAACAAGAATTGCAAGCTTGGTTAAGAGGGGATTTATTACGCAACTGAAAATGTTCAGAAAAATGCCACGATCACNGTTTTTTCCCAAAAATAACCAGAAACTGAAAATGTTTGAAATTTATTACAAAACCGATCGGATCTCGGTGAAAAATGGGTAAGGGCTCTTTTTGACTGGATATGTTGTATATGAGCACACTGACAAGACTCAACATCTGAGACGTTGTCAGATGTGATACTGTCAAACAAACCACAACTCTTTAAACAATGTGTGGCCATAAATTTACTTTGACTTTTATCCAGAATGCCCCGGGGGGTAATGGCCGGACGTCCATAAATTACTTACAAGTAATTAGTCAACAAGAATTGCAAGCTTGGTTAAGAGGGGATTTATTACGCAACTGAAAATGTTCAGAAAAATGCCACGATCACAAACTGGGGAGACATTGCAAACTTCAAACGTGCAATTCTGACCGGAAGCCGACTAGTCGCATACGCGCGCCTGATGTTAAACAAAACAGAAGGGAAAGAGAGTTGGAAACAAAATAAAAGGAGTGTCTCGTGTGATCAAAGCAAGTTCTTTCAGAAATGCTATTAACACTAACAAAAATCTTTAACAGTGATCGTGCAGGATCATCCTGGACACTGCCCGGTCCAATATTTCAAGAATATTGTGCCAGCAATGAAGCAATCTGATTGACTGATTTGACTTCCTAGCCCTCTAAATTAACTTGGGGGTGAAATATAAACTAACCATGTAGCGCTTTCTCTTGGTATACATTGGAATATCCCACTTGTATTCACTTGGTATATATACCAAGAAAATACAAGCGACAATAGAGAAAGCGCTGCATCAGTGTTGCGTGGGAAAGGATACCCCTTATTCCCTCCCCATTTACACCTGGTATGCAGGATATGAATGAACGAATGAATGAATGCTTTATTTAACGTGGATATACGCTTAGCTTGAGAGCTAGTTTACAGGTGTTCAATCTAATAACTAATGAGAACCTAACAACTAAACAACGATAATATCACAATTCATCAGGTGAAAATCAAATTAAATACTGATTAAAACTATTCAAAACTATTATTACAATATTACCGCCGCAGTCAGCGTTGATCCTAGCAGTATGCAGGACACCTATCATATATGAACGTAGTTAAATGACTTTGCTCTCCATGAGTTCTCATAGCTCAGTGGATAGAGCGCCCGCCCAGTGTTCAGGAGGTCATGGGTTCGATTCCTGTCCAGGACTCAGAATTTTTCTTTGTCCCACGCTCGTGTCATGTTGATTAATTCACCTTCACAATATCAACTTGTTATTACGCTTAACAAATGAACTTAGAATGATTTTCTTTCTAGAACTCTTTCTTGTAATTAAAATAATCAAAGAAAGAACGACAGCTTGAAAAGACATAGCAGTAACACCCGGGGGGAGGGGGGTACTTTAGGAACTTCTGAACTCCAGGTAAATTGCTTCTAATTGGCATTTTCAAATAACGAAATTTCTAAAGTGATGCCTTTCAAAATATTAAAGTTAAAAGTGGTCCATTGTGTTTTTCTTTTTTCAGCCAAATGCTCTAAGATAGCCATCTATGGTTTGTTGGAAACTAATTATGTATACCAGGAAGACCTGAGCTGAATATAAAACCATTGAAAGATTCTCAAGTAGCTGTTTTGCGATGGGCAAAGCAATCAAATTTTCAGAAAATTCAGCACAACCAGAAGTACATTTTGAGCTCAATCGGGGCGAAATTGTTTTTTGCAAATCTCTTCCAAAAAGGCTGCATGGTCAGTTTGTTTTCTAGCTAGGGCCAATCTATGGACAAAAAATGAGCAAAATCGATTTTTCGACTTATGCTGTCGTTTAGTCCATATTTAAGGACAGTGGCTCTTAAGTCCCTGGAAGATGAAATTGAAAATAAGCTACAAGAAGTTAAAAAGTCACTGAAAAGCAACTGGTGATGTTCTGCACTATCTCTATACCCAAAACATAGGTTTTGACACAAACATTTTGCTTGGTTTGAGGTAAATTGTCATCAAACAGTCCTCAAAATTTCTAAGAAGGGTCTTTGAAAGACCTTGAAAAATCCTTGAATTTTTTGCCTGAAAATCTGTATGAACCCTGTGTTATGCTCTATGCAAATGTTATTCTTGCTGAATGTTCATCTTGCAAAATGACTCAACTGCTTTGTTCCCACCCACCGCAAGGCACTTGAAGCTTGGAGATAAAGCAGAAAAAAGTGGAAGCTGTCCTTCTATATAAACATTTTAAACCTGTTTCTAAACATCTTGGAAGTTTTCTGACTTTCTTGACTTGGCAAAGGAAAGTCTACAAATCCACGAAGTAAGGGAGAAAATAGTACTGAACAGACATTCGATATCTGTCCTTGCAAAAAAACCTGTATTAGTTCAGTTATTTACATGATCTATAGCATCATAATACGCTTGCTCTTTTCCCAAACTGTTTGAGTTGAACATGTTATCGTTAATATAAGTGAGAAATGCAAACTTCTGCAAACGACACTGATATCCACCTTGTTTTTTATAGTAAAGGGGGAAAATCTCAACAGAGATTCAGTAAGGGTCATTTGCATAAACCTGTCTTAGTAGTGTATGATTTACTTCATGTTTCCTCTTTGAGCTTGGTTCGTTCATTAGTGTACGTGAAATTTACAATTTAGTCTACAAACACTATCTTAAGATGCTCGTTCTCCCCCCTCCCCAGTTCATTGATTTCAATTTGTTAGTGTTGGTATAAATAATTGCAAATAAATGGACTTGACTGAGCTTAAAGTGCTGCGGTAAATGCTGCTATTTGCACCAGTTCACCAGTCCCTTACTAAGTGAGTATAAATAAGAGCTCCACATCTCATTTCAGCTCAGTTTGCATAAGAATCCTTTGCTTTGTAACCTCATGTGTCATACCCTATACCGGATGGTCAACTTCTCATCTATGCTGCTTGCATGGTTCGACTCCTTCAATTGAACTAACTGCATGCAGCAGTTTATGGAGATCCAAATCCGGCACCCTTACTGGTGCAACTAAACTTTTCGTTGTGATTTATTGGTATCTCATTTTTAAGCCAGCTTGTAGTGGACAAGGACAAGGGAG